GGGGGGGAGGAGAAGCGCAAACCTTCCTGGTCCTGCATCTCGTGCACTACATCCATAAGGTTAGCAGTTATTTGATGATGAAAAAGGCTCAAGAAGGGGATTAGGGCCATACCGACAGCTTCATTCGAGCTGAAGGGTTGTAGTGGTACATTCTGGCGAGAGAGAGGGGGGGAGTGGGGGGTGGCAAGTGAATGCAATTACAATTACAATGCGATGATTAACTACGAGGCAATCTCGGACATTTATAAGTCCATTAGGCCGAGCGCCAAGCCCAGCGGAACAAAAACCCCGCGCCATCACGTGATTCCGCTTTTGATGAAAGAATCAGTCATCGGGTCAGGTATAGTATTGGGATTCAATACCAGTCCATGATCACTGTGACCAAGGGAAGCAGGCCCTCGTGGTCTAGGAAAGTAAAATTTGGTACTTGAAAAATACCTAAGAAACACATACCAAATATCTAATAACAATATATCTCTGGAATCTCCACTCCGTCCAAAAACGGTCCCCGCCGGCGCCCGCGGAATCCGAACTTGGCGGCGCATCACTTCTTCCTTCACACACAACGGATCTTCATGGTGTCAAAGACCGAGCCCGACCGGGGAATGCCTGCCTGCTGTGACTCGGGTGAAATTATAAATCTCACTGAGTCCCTCAGGGGTCTTGAATCGATAGACTTGTTCAGTATGCGATAGAAATCTGTTGTGCAGCGTCCAGCATTTCACCAGGAAATGGATTCCAAACCGGCCGACAATCGGCACCCAGCCCTAAGCGGCGTTCCCATGCCAACTCGCACGCCTACCAGCAGTTGCAACTCGGACTCGGACGGAAAGGCGACTCTGGCCGAAGATCAGGAAGAGAATGATCGTGATCTCACTCACTTGGCTCGCACCGTGAGTGAGCGATCCAAACGGTCGCACCACCCGCTGCCTTTCAACAAAAATGACCTCGTTCTCGACCCACACAGTCCTCGATTCAACGCCAGAGCCTGGGCGAAAGCCTTCTACGGTCTTCGCTACCAGTCTGATAACAGCGCCCCGGCACGCGTGGCCGGGGTCGCCATCAAGAACCTGAACGTGGTGGGATATGGCAGTCCGGTTGACTATCAGATGAGCGTGGGGAATGCGGTCTTGAAGGTGCCAACCCTCATCCGCCACCTTCTGGGCGGGAAGAAGAAGAGAATTGAGATTCTGCGTGATGTCGACGGCTTGCTTCTCCCCGGTGAACAACTCTGTGTTTTGGGGCCTCCTGGTTCCGGCTGCTCGACCTTCCTCAAAACAATTGCTCAAGAAACATATGGATTCCAGGTCGACCCGGCCGCGTACATCAACTACCAGGGGATCACCCCAAAACAGATGTCAGCGGAGTTCCGGGGTGAAGCCGTCTATACAGCCGAGGTGGATGCTCACTACCCCCAACTGGTGGTTGGAGACACTCTGTACTTCGCTGCCCTCGCCCGTGTCCCTCGTCAAGTACCTGGTGGGATGTCTCGCCAGGAGTACGCCACCCATCTGCGAGATGTGATCATGTCAATCTTTGGGATCAGCCATACTATCAACACCAAGGTCGGGAATGACTTTGTGCGTGGCGTCAGTGGAGGTGAGAGAAAGCGAGTTACCATCGCAGAAGCCGCATTGAGCTATGCTCCATTGCAGTGCTGGGATAACAGCACTCGAGGCCTGGATAGTGCTAATGCTGTGGTATGTACACCATAACAGCTACTCTGTGATACCATACTGATGAATTCTTGGTGGTTTAGGAATTCTGTCGGACATTACGCACACAGGGCGATGTTTTCGGGGTGACCTCGTGTGTTGCCATCTACCAGGCACCCCAGGCGGCCTACGACGTAAGTCAGCTTAACGCTCATAGGCATGAATCCTGGCTAACAGATTGTCTAGCTTTTCGACAAAGTCACCGTTCTGTACGAAGGACGGCAGATCTACTTTGGCCCTGCCCAGGCAGCCAGGGATTATTTCAGTCGCATGGGATTCATATGCCCCGAGGCACAGACAACTCCTGACTTCCTGACCTCCATGTCAAGCCCCGTTGAACGCGTCATACGCCCAGGATATGAGCACCTCGTGCCCAGAACGGCCGACGAATTCGCCAGACGATGGCATGAAAGCCCTGAGCGCCAGGCTCTTCTGCATGAAATCGACCAATATGTTGACGCACACCCATTCCACGCTTCGGACCTTGATAAATTCGCCTCCGCTCGACGAGCGGAGAAGTCCACGAAACAGCGGCGAGATTCTCCATACACTTTGTCTTACTGGGGCCAGATTCGGATCTGCCTATGGAGAGACTTTCAGCGACTCAAGAACGATCCGAGTGTGACTCTTGCCATGCTAATCGGAAACTTCTTCGAAGCTTTGATCATTTCCAGTGTGTTCTACAACCTTGCAAATGACACATCATCGTTCTTCTCGCGTGGTGCCCTGCTCTTCATGCTGGTCCTCCTGAGCGCCTTTTCCAGCATGTTGGAAATCATCGTTCTGTACGAGAAGAGGACCATCGTCGAAAAACACACCCGATACGCCCTCTATCACCCAAGTGCCGAAGCCATATCGTCAATGATCATGGACATGCCTTACAAAATTGTCAACTCGTTGCTTGTCAATCTGGTGTTGTACTTCATGGGAAATCTCCGGCGGACACCGGGAGCATTCTTCTTCCTGTACCTGATCGCATTCTCCATGATGATGGGCATGTCCATGTTTTTCCGGTTCTTTGCCTCCATTACCAAGTCGCTCGAACAGGCTCTTGCGCCCTCGTCCATCATTCTGCTTGCCCTCGTGCTGTATACGGGGTTTGCTATCCCGGTGAGCTACATGCGTGGCTGGGCCTCGTGGATCCGATGGCTGAATCCAGTCTCGTATGGCTTCGAGGCTGTGATGGTAAACGAGTTTCATGGCCGGGAGTTCCCCTGTGCCTCCTTCATTCCCTCCGGACCAGGATACGAGAATGTTTCAAGCCAAGAGCGGGTGTGCTCGACTGTGGGAGCTGTTCCGGGGTCCGATGTCGTCCAAGGCACCGCATTCGTGCGCTCCTCGTATGGATACGAGAACAGTCACCGCTGGCGCAACTTCGGGATTATCATTGCCCTGACCATTTTTCTGGCTCTCTGTCACCTCGTCACCTCCGAACTAGTTTCTAGCCAACGCTCCCGAGGTGAAGTGCTCGTCTTCCGGCGCAATAAGGTGCAGAAAGCTTTGTCGGCACAGAACCAGAAGGATGAGGAGCAGGGGCCTGATCCTGTGGTGCAAAGCGACAAAGCACCCAGCCAGGGGTCGGGAACCATCTCTGGAGTCGAGAAGCAATCGTCAATCTTCCACTGGGAGGATGTGACCTACGACATCAAGATCAAAGGCGAGCCGCGACGCATTTTGGATCATGTCGACGGTTGGATTCGGCCGGGTACTTTGACAGCGCTCATGGTAAGCAGCCATACCCCCCACATCGTACCCTTTGGTCAGTCAAACTAACTATTCTGAACAGGGGGTCTCCGGCGCCGGGAAAACGACCTTATTGGATGTATTAGCGAGTCGCACGACGGTCGGTGTTATTGGTGGCAATATGTTGGTGGACGGTCGCGTTCGAGACGAATCCTTCCAACGTAAGACTGGCTATGTGCAACAACAAGATCTGCACCTCCACACCTCGACGGTCCGGGAAGCCTTGGAGTTCAGCGCCTTGCTCCGACAGCCGCCCCAGTACAGCCGAGCTGAAAGGCTCGCGTATGTTGAGACTGTAATTGACCTTCTGAACATGCGGGAGTACGCGGATGCCATCGTCGGGGTACCAGGAGAAGGGCTCAACGTGGAGCAGCGCAAGCGATTGACAATTGGAGTGGAACTGGCTGCGCGCCCTAAGCTGCTGCTTTTCTTGGATGAGCCAACCTCGGGACTGGACAGCCAGACCAGCTGGTCCATCTGCAACCTGATGGAGACCTTGACCAAGAATGGACAAGCCATTCTCTGTACAATCCACCAACCGTCTGCCATGCTGTTTCAACGCTTTGATCGACTTCTTCTGCTAGCCAAGGGTGGCAAGACTGTCTACTTTGGGGAGGTGGGAGAAGGATCGCAAGTTCTTATGGACTACTTTGTTCGCAACGGGGGATCAGCCTGCCCGCCGGGAGCGAATCCAGCAGAGCACATGCTGGAGGTCATTGGAGCGGCTCCAGGAGCCCAGACGGAAATTGACTGGCCCGCAGTCTGGAGAAACAGTCCTGAATATCAAGATGTGCAGAATGAACTGGCCAAACTGAGGGAACTGGCCAGCAAGCCCTCGCCGCTCTCTGATCCGAATGATAAGTCCAGCTATGCCGAATTTGCGGCGCCTTTCTTCGAACAACTGATTCAGGTCGCCCGTCGGGTCTTCCAGCAGTACTGGCGCTCGCCCTCCTACATATACTCCAAGATGGTACTGACTGTTGGCTGTGTAAGTGGGAACTCTTGGACAATCTGGGATGGTAGTGATCAACAGCTAACCGCATCTTTGCATCTCGCAGGCGCTCTTCATCGGGTTCTCTTTTTTCAAAGCAGACAACACTCGACAGGGGCTACAGAATCAGATGTTTGGCGTCTTCGTGTTCCTCTTCGTGGTTGTTCAGCTGGTGATGCAGATCATCCCATCCTTTGTCACGCAGCGGACGCTCTACGAATCGCGCGAGCGGCAGTCCAAGACCTATGCATGGCAAGCATTTATTCTCTCCAACATCGCGGTGGAGTTTTTCTGGAATACGGTTCGTCCCTGTTGTATCTGGTTCTGCCTCGTTTTACTGACTAATCATCTCGGTCAGATCATGGCGATATTGTCCTTCCTGGTCTGGTACTACCCCGTGGGCCTGTACCGTAACGCGGAATATACCGGCGAGGTTCACACCCGGGGCACGCTGGCTGTCCTCATCATCTGGGCTGTCTTTCTCTTCTCAAGTTCGTTCGCGCACATGTTGATCTCTGGGATGGATAGTGATCAGCTGGCATCAGCACTGTCCAACATCCTGTTTATTATGATGTATGCTTTCTGCGGCATCCTGGCAGGTCCGGATGCTCTTCCCGGCTTTTGGATCTTCATGTACCGCGTCAACCCCTTTACCTACCTGGTATCCTCCCTGCTATCTGCAACCCTGGGCGATGCCCCCATGCATTGTGCCGACAACGAAATCTTATCCTTCTTCGCTCCCTCTGGAATGAGCTGCGGCGAATACATGCAAGATTATCGCTCCGCCCACGGGGGCTATCTGCTCAATCCGGACGCTCGAGGCAGCGACGAGTGCAACTTCTGCAGCTTAGAGTACACCAATCAGTATCTGGCAGGCTTGAATATCAACTTCGCCAATCGGTGGCGCGACTTTGGCCTGTTGTGGGTGTATATTGTGGTCAATACCGTTGGAGCCATTGCGTTCTACTGGATCTTCCGTGTGCCGAAGGGGAAGAAGGTCAAGAAGGAATGGTCATGAGGCTTTTGTTCCACTAGATCTCGTTTGTGCTCATCGCACCTATTTTTATAAATTTATAGTACACATTAATCCTTAGTGCTTTGTGTGGGTTGTTCTCTAGAGGTGATCAAGGTCACTTGCTAGCTAGACTATATTTACGTTTACGTCCCCTGGAAAAGCCTTACTTCACCCAAAACATAATCCACGCAAGTCTCGCCATAATGATGACGTGTCACGGCACATGCCTTCGGCACGAGAGTCCGATTGGAATGGGAATACAGGGGTCATGTCCATCTGACTCAGCCTGTGACTACAATATTGTGCGTTCAACTTCTCTTCTCGCCAACCATCAGCGGTATCGCCCAGATAAAAGACATCCAGCAACTTGTACCGCAGCACGACATTCGTCATGGTCAAACAGACCACTTTTATCGACACCCAAGACGGGCTCAAGGGTCTCGTCGATCTCATAGCACGGCAGGAAACCTGGATGGGGGACTTTAAGCCCCTGCTCTACACAGATCTGGAAGGCAAAAAGCTCAGCCGCCATGGTACAATATCCCTCATGACCGTGCTTGTTGCTTCCGGTCACGGTTTGATGTCTCCACACGTCATAGACATCCATCCTCTTGGCTCTGTAGCCTTCTCCACGACCGGACAGCGTGGAAATAGTCTCAAAGACATATTAGAGTCGCCACAGATCATCAAAGCATTCTTCGACGTGCGAAATGACTCGGACGCATTCAATGCTCATTACGGAGTCAGGCTACAGGGTGTCCGGGATATTTAGCTCATGGAGAGCGCTGGTCGGCCGAATACCCGTGAGCGAAAGTATCTCTCCGGCCTGTCCAAATGCATCGAGCAAGCTCTTTCCAACGCACGAGAAAAGAGGAAATGGATGCTGGACAAAACGAATGGGGAGGCCTTATGGCCAAAAGAGCGGCTCATACAGTGTGTTTGACACACGGCCGCTCTTGGACGCGATCATCAGGTATTGCGTGGGTGACGTACAGTACCTACCGACTCTTTATACGAGATATCGCTACCCAACCGACCGTTGGAACCAGCTCATTGCCAAGGCATCGCAGAAGCGAGTGTCGCTCTCACACGCAGTTGAATACCAACCGGAATGCCCAGGGCGCGCACTGAGTCCTTGGAGCCCCGAGCAGAACAAGCTACTTGATGAGTAAAATGCCCCGCCTCCGCGGCCATCAGGATATTATTTTTCGTACAACTCGGACTAGGATGATGGTTGGTACCTTTCTGATGACAATGACTTTGAGGATTGGACGAGAGCACCGTGGCAGGGCCCCCCCTCATAGTCCACTGTTGACAACGGGACTCGACAATGCTAATGTAGTGTTGGGATTCGCCTTGGATTTTGTTTGTGTTTGTTCAATAAATTGCTTAACCGTTTTCCCAAGTTCCTACAGCTTGCACTCTCATAATATCGGCAAATGGATCTCTGTTCTATTTGGTCACGAAGCATCTTGGCTACTCCTTGATTTATAGATCATGATCATGACCACATGAATGATAAGGCTTCAATTGCCATTGTGATATCCGTCGACACCCCGTGTATCGCGGTAATAAGCCGTGGGCGACGACTATGGCAAGACTCCAACCGTTCTGGGTCATAATGATATACGAATCAGCATGGAAGCGGCTACAGGCGTTACCATGACGCTCTTAGCCCGTCATTCTGTGTGCACGAGGAGGGGTCCCGACGCCAGTACCTCGCCCGCTGGCTCCTTGAACATCGAATGAAATCGAACAAGCTGTGTCAGCAAGTCGCTGACAGCAAGGAACCCCGCATTTCGTCGCGTGGTTTAGTGGGATTTAGCGTCAACTAGTCTCTGATTCTCGTACAAGACGCCAGACGTCCTCACTTCTGCCAATTTCTGTCTAGAACCAGCCAGCCACAGCCATGCAAGTGAAGTCTGGGCGTCGACGAGCGCGGACCACTCGTTCCAGAACCGGCTGTCGAACCTGTCGGTAAGCAATTGGTCGCCAGCCAGATCTTCTTTATTCTCAACGTCACTCCTCAGAGCCCGCCGGATCAAATGCGACGAGACGCCAGGGAGATGTCAGAACTGTAAAGTGGCGGGCTGGCCCTGTGAAGGCTCGGATCTCACTCGTTTGTCGGGCAAAGCAACGTATGGCGCCCAGCACGCGACGCTGATGTCCTCAGTGGCAGCGCAGTTCCCTTGGACCATCACCTGCGACGAGAAACGATGCCTCTCCTTTCTCTGGCATCATCTCATCCCCGACTCGGTGGTTGTTTCGGGGGTGTCCGACCTATTCTCGCCGCGGAATGTGATCGGCCAACTAAGCGTTATTGAGCCGGCCGTCTACCATGCCCTCGTAGCCCTAAGTGCCATCAATCACCAGGTGCATGAAGCGGGGATTGCAATCCCCGGACAGTCGCTGCGTAGTAAATGGCATCATTTCGCCCTGGAGCAGTCGCTGCGCTCATTCACTCTTCTGAAGCACCGGCCTGCCTCCCAAGATCCACGTCTCCGCCAGGTGATTCTGGTCTGCTGCCTGCTCTTCGTGCTGATCGAGCTGGCGTCCGCCCGCTACGACGACGCCAACACGCACCTCCAAGCGGGGCTGAAAATTCTCAACGAGGGGGCACCGTCTTCTTTACCCATAGACCCAGCTCTCTCCGACGCCTTCCTCTACCTGGAATCACACTCGGCGTTTCACGGAGTCCACCAGCCCTTCCGCGAGCTGGACGCCCAATTCGCCCGTCTCGAAACCTTCGAATCCCAGCTCCGCCCATTTCGGAGCGTCAAGCAGGCACGTCAAGCCCTGAACCCTCTCGTGCCTACCATCTTCCGCCTCCTCGAGCGGTGCTGGAGCCTGTCCGAGACCGACCTCGCACTCCAATACGGCATCCTGCAACCCAAACAACAGCGCCTGCTATCCTGTCTGACCCAAGTCAGAACCTACTTCGACGACCTACTGCCAACTTATCCCCACTTCACCGACCGCGAGCGGCGCTCCGCAGACGTGGTGGTACTGGGCCTGCTCACTTTCACTTTATCCCTCAAAGCCTGCCTGCACGCCCCGTGGGATCCCGCATTACACCCACTACGCCCGGAATTTGAGGATCTGATGGCGAAGACTGTGGCCCTGAACGCTAAATTGGGGACGCGCCCGCAGTTTACCCCCGATGGGATCCTGTGCGCTGCCCTGAGCTTCCTGGCGCTGCGATGTCCGGATTACCGCATTCGTCTGCAGGCCATCGCTGCACTACGCGCGTCTCCCCGCGCAGAAGGGTATTATAACGGACTGGTGGTGGCGGAATTCGCCATCAGTGGGTTGAAGCTCGAGTTGACCCAATCCACGTCGGGATCGATCAAGCAAGATACCAGGCAGCAACGGCTACAGGTCGATGATTCGCCCTATCCTCAAGACAGAACCGTCGAGGAGCTGCTGGGTCTGCAGCAGGATGAGCATCTGCTGGGGTCGATTGCCACCCTGCAAGGCGCCTCGGATTGGCTATCCAATCAAGCAGGCGGGCAGGTCCAGACGGAGTGCTCGGACGTCGGTGGGCATCAGGTCTGGTATCTCAATACGTCGAATCTGAGGAGGGTGCCGTGGGAAGAGGCAGACAAATAGCGGCCGTGGATGTACAGTATTGACCACGCAACGTAGCCTCTCGTAGTGATACAGTGAATTCAGATAGCGCTAAGGATATGTACATGCTTCCAACACAAATGTCTAATCAGTCTTTTCTTCATCACGTCTAGAGTTCTACTTTTACGCCGCCTTAGCGACCTCGCCCTTGACCCAGGCCTCCAGACCGCCAGCGGCGATAATCGCCTGCACGTTGGCGGGCAGCTCGCCCACCGGCTCCGTCCAGCTCTCGCCGCCCTCACCCTCCTGCACCTCGACCTGGCTGCGCTTGACGTCCCACGTCAAGGTCCAGCCAGTGCGGCGGGTGGGCTGGCGCTCAGCACCGGCCGGCTGGGCGAAGGTGGCGCGGAGGCGCTCGACGAGACGGGGCACCTCGAGACCCATCAGGGCGTTGTTGATACTGTTGCGGGAGAAGATGTTGCCGAAGCTACCAGCGACGACGAGCGGGATCTGCTTGGCCAGGATGGCGGTGGCGGCCTGCTCGCGGGAGGAGCCGCAGCCGAAGTTGAAGCCGGCGACGAGGATGTCGCTGGGCTTGGCGACGTCCTTGAACTCGGGGTCGTAGTTCATCATGCAGGCACGAGCCATGTCCTCCTTTGAGACGTTGTCCTGGTAGGTGAGCTTGCCGGGGTAGATGCTGTCGGTGTCGAGGTTGTCGGCGTCGCAGAAGACGATCTCGCCGCTGATGCGCTCGGGGAAACCGGGCAGGATCTCGGTGGCCGCCTTCTCCGTCGAGCCCTGGGCGGTCTCCACTCGGTCAATGAAGGACTCCATCTGCTCCAGGAGATTGGTGAGCTGCTGCTCAGTGGTGGGCTCCGCACCGGTGCCGAAGCCGTGGTCCACCCCCAGCCACTCCTCCGGGGGCACCTGGAAGGTGCCGGGGCCGGAGATCATGCCGCTGAGGGCACTGGCGGCGACGACCTCGGGGCTGGCCAGATAGGCCTGCGCGTCACGCGAGCCCATGCGACCCTTGAAGTTGCGGTTACTGGCACTAATGCCCACCTCGCCGGGCTCCAGCAGACCGGTTCCGAGGCCAATGCACGGACCGCACCCGGCGGGAAGCGGCTGCGCGCCGGCCTCGAGCAGGATCTGCCAGTCGCCGGTGGATTCGGCAGCCTCCTGCTCAGGAGCGGAGGCGGCCGCGATGTAGAACTTCACGCCGTCGGCGATCTTGGGGGTGACGTCGCCGTTCGCCTTGGCCGCGGTGCGGAAGACTTGCGCGGCGGCGGCGATATCCGAGGCGCGGGAGTTGGTGCAGGAGACGACGTAGGCGCGGTTGACCTTGATGTTCTTGGCGGCCAGCTCAGCCAGGGGAGTGGCGACCTTGACGGAGTTGGGGCCAGAGACGTAGGGGGAGAGGGTGGAGAGGTTGAGGTACAGCTGCTTAGCATATTGAGCATCGGGGTCCGCGGTGAGGGGGTTGGCGAACAGCTCCTCGATTCTCTCGTGCGTGATGCGCTCGCGAGTGGAACGGTCATCAGACAGGGCAGCGACAGTCGCCTTGTACCGGAGCCAGCGCTTGAGGGTGGTGTCGATGGGGAAGAGACCGGTGAGCGCGCCCCACTCGGTGGTCATGTTGGCGATCGTCAGGCGGCTGTCGACGAGCAGGCTGGCCATGGTCTCCTCGGAACCGGTGAACTCAATGGCGTGGTTCAGGACGTCGCTCTTGAAGAGACCGCACAGCGCGACGATCACGTCCTTGCCGGTCACGCCCACGGGGAGCGTGCCAGTAAAGGTGACCTTGGCCACCGGGGGAATCTGCCACCAGGTGCGCGAGGTCGCCCAGATACTGGCCGCGTCGGTGCGAACCACGGCGGTGCCCAAGCAGCCGACACCACCGTAGTGGTTGCTGTGACTGTCGGAGGCGACTGCCATGGTGCCGGGCCACGCGTACCCTTCCTCCACCATCACCTGGTGTCCAATACCCCGTCCTGCAGGATAAAAGTCGATGCCGTGTTTGCCCGCAAACTCCTCGATTTGCTGATACTTCTTCAGATTCTGGGGACTGGTGTTCTGGACGTCGTGGTCGAGGGTCATGACGATCTGCTTCGGGTTGTGCACCTTGGTGGCTCCCATGGACATGAACTTGAGAGCCACCGGCCACGAGTTGTCATGCGTCATGCAGTATCCGGGCGCCAGACTGATATAGTCGCCACTGCGAACGAACTTCCCGGGGGGGAGACCGACGGCATAGCGTTGCACGATCTTCTCCGTCAGGGTCTGCGGTGTGCGGGTCTCGGAGGGAGTGGTCGAGGGGGCCTGCTCTTGCTGCGAGTGAAAGCCTTGGGCCCTGACGATCGGGGTCGTGCTGAGGGCGCGAATGGAGCGAGGGGGGGGGGATGTGGCGATGGACCGTGGGAGGAGGGCAATTCTCCTGCTGGAAGCCCCGAGCGACGGAGTAGACCGAAGCCGAAGCTGGGTGGATTTATGAGTTAAGAGCAGATCGGATGGTAGATGGAGAATTGGAAAGGTCAAGGAAGGTCTAGCGACTCACCGGCCGGCGGAGCAAATTGCAGAGCTGCCTCGCCATGGTCTCTATCTCTATAGTTCAATGGGTATCGATTGAACACGAGAGAGAGGAGGTGGAGGTGATGGGGGAGGAAAAGAAGGACTGAGTCACCACCTCAAGATTTTTCCCAGTTTCTCCTGGCGCCGATCTCGCAGGCGGACAATGCGAAGGCGAGAAGCCCCGAGTCACCGCACGTGATCCGGGGTAATCCCAGCCAGTCGCGCCACGGCATTTCTAAGCACCGGATGGTCACGTGGTGCTGCCTGAGGCTGTGATCAGGTGCATGACTCATTGCGATAACTAAAGGTGTTTTAACTTGATTGGTACTAGTGTGGGATTGTGTCCAACTGTGTAGTTCTATTGTGCAGGTAGTTATAGTTAACTTGAGTGTAACTTAGCTTTTCACTTTCTCGAGTATATACGGAGTACATCAAATCTATCAAATAAAAATATAAATATATCAGACCCCCCCTATAAGTACATATAACACCAAATTCCTAGGCGATCGCTATCGAGGTGTTTGGAAATCGCTTCTGCAACTCATCGAAGATATCCGCCGCACTGATGGCGTAGGTGGTGAAGTCCTGGTCATCCTGGGCCACAAGCATGGCAAACAGGGAGCCATTGTCCCCTCCATCCACCACCCAGGCTCCAACATCCTCCGCAAAGGAAACCATACTTAATTGATACGCTACGGGGAAGTCGGTGGCTGCGATGGACGGGCGACTCAATCGTCCAGACACGTCGGTTCTCACGGGGGGGCGAGCGCCGTTCCCCAGCAAGCACCACAGCTGACCGCGAGGCGAGCTTCTGGTGACCTTGGATGGTGAGAGCACTTGCCACCCCCCGACCGTGACACAATTGGACCGGGGCGTTTGATCACACAATCGAAACAGACCCCAGTTCTGTCGCACCGACCAGAAGCCCGGGTTCAACTTCCTGGTCCCTTTGTAGCGGGGCAGATAGGCCACCGCGTGGGGCTCCTCGCTGTCCAGGGCGTACATCGCGCGGGACCGGAACGAGGCCCAACGCTTTCGGTGCTGGTGGTGCTGGTTGGAAGAAGGCTTCAGAAAGGGATGCAGAACGGTCAGTGCATAGTACTCGCCATCGATCATCACAGTACCTCCAATGGTCGCGGTTTGATCCGAATTGCGTCCAGCCCGGACGCGCGTGCCACACAGGGTCTCTCCCTCCCATGAGTCAATGCGGTAGCCCATCTTGGAAAGTGGTAGAGTGCTTGGTATGCTTGATATGCCTGGTACTTGACGGATCATTCTCAATCTAGATCAGGCCTATTTATAGTGGGTCAGATCTCATTGCCCTTTGTTATGCTCGGGTTGCGCAAGATGCACCAGCCAACAATGGCCTGCCAATCCTTTGTCCCTGTCACCCTGGCTTCTTTATATCTTTCCGGAGAATTTTCCTCGCCCTTTCATGACGTGTGGTCATGATGGGCAATGACTCTTTGAAAATGCTTCATGGCAACGTGGACTGCGCAAGAATCTAACGGATGATGACATCCAGCACCGCTGACTTGGCCTCCTCCACCACAACCCTAATCGCCTCAGTAAGAGCTTCATCCAGTTGGCCTACACACTCCACCCGCTTCGCCCACAGGTTTCCGTTAGCTGCAGCCTTAGCAATTCCCCCATAATCAGGCCCATCCGCGACGAGGGAAATTCCCAGCTCTTCCTTCGACAACCCAGCCGCAACACCGGTCGGGTGTACATCCTTCAAGCATTGACTGGTGGCATTCCACCCCCCATTGTTCAAGATAATAGTCAGAAAGGGGCACTGATAGCGGTGACTGGCCCAGAAGACCGCGGTCGGAACCGAGAACACAAAGCTTCCATCACCCGTGATGCTGCACACCAAAGGACGGGTCTGTGACGACGAAGGCCCCTCAGCCTTCTGCTGCACCATCGGTCGGTTGGACAGATCGTACCGTGCCGCGGCCAGCTGCACTCCGATTGCTGCGCCTCCCGCCCAGCCCAATCCGCTACCGCCCTTGGTGAGATGCGAGCCCGGTCGGTGCAGGCGGAGCTGCTCCGTCATGGCTACCTGGTTGGTGACCGAGTCGGTCACAAAGACTGTCTCCTGGGGTAGCATTGCGCGGACGCGACTACACAGATAGTCTACACTGCAGGGCGCATCCGGCGTCGACAACAGTGCGGTCGCACGGGCATCGATCTGTGCCTGGCCCTGGTCGTACGATGCCTTCATGGTCTTCCCACGCGCTTGCCAGCTTTCACTGCCTTGCAACTCGGGCAACCGAGGGGAGGTAGATATATAAGCAGTAAGCTGGCTCAAGGCCGCCGCCGTGTCCGCGTGAAAGGTGAGAGACGCATTGATATCGAAAATATTCATACGTTCTTTGCGCGGGTCAAGGTCGATGTGGATGATCTGGGCGGTGGGAGAAGGGCGCACACGCGTGGGAATCCAGGGCACATCAGCGTCCAGGACGAGAATCACGTCGGCCGATTGCACGGCGGGAGCTGCCCCCGTCCCTCGCGTCACACAGGCAGGATGGGTGGCTGGGAAGCTCATCTCACGGAGCTCCGAGTCAAACACCCGCAGGCCGGAGATCATGTCAGCCAAGTGGACCAGCTCTTGGACGGCACGATGATTGCGACCCAGGTACCCGGTGATCACCAGCGGGGCTTGCGCATTGAGCAGCGCTGTACTGATTACCTCCACTTGCTCGGAAGGCAGGGAGCCCAGGAGACACGTTGGTACGGCCTTGGGCCGCAGAGCAGGGTCGCCAGAAGGCAGCGCAGTGGCAAGAATCTCCCGTGTTGCCGTCAGATAGACAGGCCCGGGGGAGCCCGTCGTGGCCATGAGCACTGCGCGATGCACCACGGTGGACACATTGTGCGGGGACTTGATCTCGGCACTGTAGCGGCTGTACGGCGCCACGAGGGCAGCCTGATCGCGAATATCTTGGTACCACTGCACATGCTCCGATCGCGAGCCCGGAGCCTCCCCGAGAAAGGTGGACGGGGCAATCCCGGCCAGAATCACCACGGGGGCTCGTCCGCTGGAAGCATTGTGCAGCCCCTGGCCCAGAGCTGCCGTCCCCACATCAACGTGGGCAATCACACACGCTGGCCGGTGACTGATTCGTGCGTACCCATCAGCCGCTGACATGGCGACAAACTGATGGTTCGCCCGTTAGTACAGACACAGGATCTTTCGTCAGTGGTCGACAGTAGCTGACCTCATGCTGAAACAGAATCATCTTGGGATACTGCCGGGTGGGATCATTCTGTCGGCGCACGTAGGCCTCGATGATGCTGGGGTGGTCGGATCCCAGCACGGTGAAGAGGTAATCTACGCCTGCCTGGTCGATGTCAGTGCGGTTTCAATTGCACCCTTGGTGGAGATGCACTACCTGAGCCAGAGCTTCTAACAGCTCATCCGCCACGGTCGGGTCAGCTCGATTTTCTGCTCGGTGATTCTGAGACATGTTGGTGCTCAAGGTCTCTGGAAAGAAAAAAATGATGCTTTCTTGCTTTTCTTTTTCTTCTGGGCTTTAGCCTGTCCCTCAATGCCTCTTATCCCTGCTAACAGCGTTCGGCAAATGCGAAATACCTTCCACCCGGGGATATATTGCAGAGCCCCACTGATAGCAGGCCTGGAATTCTCGCTGTGAATAATCATCGAGGCAATGAAATTGACCCTTTAGCCGAGTGGAACCCCGACGGATCAGGCCATGGCAGCGCTAGGGAAGAGATGGTGGTTTGAACCCCCTGTCAAAACAAGCACTTAGGGCTCGATAGGCTCGAGAGGCCGGGCTAACCCGGCCGCTCCCCACCCCGATTCACCCTCCCCATTGCGCTATCGAATGCTTTCTGAGACACTCAATGTCCACCACAATTGGCTGTTCGGTGAATATGCCACCTAGGCCTTAGCTTGGGCTACTAAAGTACCCCGTGGCAATAACAGCACGAGTGTCTCGTTACCAATGGGAGGTGGTAACAAGTCAGAAAACGCTAAAAAGAAAAGGAAACAGGAAAAGATCTCGGATCAAGAATTCCTACAAGCATCTGGACTATGCTCTGGCTAGTCTCTATAGTACCGGTCGTTATTTCGGTGCCGGTTCACTGTGCATGTCAATTGCGGTAGTGAGAATGATCTGGCCTTTGGCAATAGCCCCCTGGCTCCCCACGCTCTCAGCATCCGCATCAGGATCGTGTCGCTCCACCCGCCATTCTTGGCCGAGCTGCGTGCCTTCCTGGGACTCCAACCGACTCATACGATAGCTCCGCCCCGTCCTGGTCCTGGTGGCTCGACTGCGCGACTTGCGCGATCCATTCGAAAGCGAGACAAACCAACTGGGAACCAGCTTCTGGGCAGAGTGCTTCAGGAACGGTAAGCAAGCGCAAATAATCCCCGTACTTGCCTCGATGGCACTCCACAGCAGGGCATCAAACGAGCCCCAGGTCGGGTCCTGCGTGGTGGTGCTTGCCTCCATTGCCCACATCCGAATGATACTGGTGATGCACACCAACAAGCCCATGCAGAACACGAGCATCACACCGATCTTGCGGATGCGGTCGAGATGCAGCTGCGCGAGAACCGGCAGTGGTAGCACGCAGACCCAAATGTCCATCGCCGTGTTGTAGCCCGCCCACGACCATCGGAAGCTCGCATTGTCCACACACTTCTTGGGGATGTTCTTGTGCCAGCTAGTATGGACCGGGATGCATTGGAAGATCGTCGCGAGCACAAATCCGAAGGTGCTGGAAATGACGAGACCGATGGTCACCCAGCAGATAATACGGAAGGGCCGCGTGGGAAAGATTCGCAGGTAGAAAGCCAGGAAGCTGAGCTTGTTGAGACAGAGGACGGTCTTGTAGAGGATTTGAAAGAGCCAGAAATACTGCGTTACGAGGCTCAAGTTAGCATCCTCTTAGACATTGGAGAGAACCATGGAGCAAACCTTCAGCGCAAGTACCAAATTGCCCCCTGACCGTACAATGTCAGCGCGATGACGACCAAATGCATAGTGGCACGCTGCATGGTAGAACACGGTCAGCATTGGCGGTCACTTCAATGTTCAACGGTTAGCAAGGTGCGCCCTACCCAAGTCGCCCATAACAGTATTCACAATCTGTATGATCTGGTTCTTCTGTGAGTAGAGGCTCTATTCATTTGCAATGCGAACCATACCATCGAAACCTGGATGATCACATCATCTGCAGAGATGGCAGTTTGTCTGTACACCTTCCATAGCACCCTATGGGCGACCAAGATGAATGCAATCGCGGTCAAAGCCCCGGTAACCCTGATGAATAGGGGACCTTTGTCCGGGATATTGGCATCATGCTCGATCATAACGTTGCTAGTTGTCTTTCTTCCAGTAGCATGCTAGAAAGGAAAGGAACGAGAATGGGCAGGACCTCGTCATGTAAAGTCCCTGTTGTGACCCTTGAAAAGGGATCGAAGGATTCAACTTGTATGGTGAAGACAGGGCTGGCGGCTCAGTACGCAAATCATCTTTTTGCAAGATCTGTACCAAACTACCTAGTACTGTCTCGGCACGGGTCCGTTTTCCTCAGCGATGTTACTCCGGACATGGAAGACTACTGAGTACATGGCTACCTACTGCGTGCCGGTATTTGGTCACCGACTTGTGGAGCAAAGATCAAGAACGTTTGGTTGTCACGCATGGAGACCAGTCAAATTGCACCATTGGGTGTCATTCACGATCGGGTCTACCCCTCTACACTAATGCCACGCAGACGTCTCAGGTCTCTATGTGCAGCCGGCCGATAACCTCCCATTCGACATTGGGGACAGATCACACCTGTTTCTGCTTAGTTGAAGCATATGATGCAGATGATGAAGACTAGTTCGAGTGGACGACATTCGGCCCAAACCGTGTGCTATGGCAGCGCAATGGCTGGAACAGATTTTCCCTGTTGCACTATAATATTGAGTCCTTTAATTGTAGGTGTGGGTCTGGAGGGAGAAAGGACATCGGAGGGAGGAGGGGGAGGACGGGACGGGGGGAGTCCGGACGATTTCCGCGCTGAGGGTCTCCGTGCAAGAACCCTATGTGGTCAATGACCCTGCACCTAATCACCTAGTATAGACTAATTCACTTACTTGGTGGGGCTTGGGTAAACTCCCCGACAAATGGTAGTGTTCGTGCATCCATTCTTAATTATCCTACCGGGCCGAGTGCTCGGAATGGAGCCACTAGGGCTGACTATCATGCTTAGGGTCTTTTAAATCCGTCAAGATATATTGCCGTGGGTCCAACGTTGAACACACCCATGAGTCCCGGTAGTTGCAGGCCACACCTTCATCAATGAGACGATGAAAAGAAGCCTGGCCTGCAATTAATCAGCCGGAGGTTGTCCAACTAGTCACTTCGTGATGGCTTGACCTAAACCCTCCCTTGCCACCCCTGACAACTCGGAAATTCCGACCTGAGTTTCATCTACAAAAGCCGACCATGTCGCGCCACGTGCATGGGTGGCTGCTTTCTCTTATAGTTCCACTCTCTCTGCCGACCGTTACTTTGCAAGGCTACAGTCATGGAGAAGCAAGAGATCGAGCCCCGCGTGGTTGAGGCGTCAACGCCAGACTTTGATCCCGCTTTGGAGAAGAAGTTGCTGCGAAAGCTGGACTGGCGAGTCATCCCAGCACTATGGTTTCTCTTTCTGGTGTCATTCATGGATCGTTCCAACATTGCGTGAGTGTTCAGCTCTCTTCCACTTGATGTCGATGGACCGAGCCTTAACCATGTGGTTTGGTGTAGAAACGCGAAGATCGCCGGCATGGCCAAGGAGCTGCACCTGGTGGGAAATGAATACAACCTCGCCGTGACCATGTTCACGGTCGCATACGTCGTCTTTGGCATGCCGGCCAACCTGTTGGTCAAGAGGTTCGGCCCAAGGATGCTGGTCCTATACATGTTTACTTGGGGTGAGAGGAATCGCAGTCGGGAGAAAAGGAGTATGCTGACTTGGTGGGTCAACAGGGCTGTTTGTGATGGGACAGGGCATCACCAAGACTGCGACGGGCCTGATCGCGTGTCGGTTTTTCATGGGGATGTGTGAGGCAGGCTTCGTTCCTGGTTCGTTCATACTATGCCAAGCTAGCGGCGATGCACGAAGCCTAATCTGACCTTCCAATGCCAGGCTGCGCATACCTGATCGGAAGTTACTACAAGCGGGACGAGTTCCTGCGTCGATACGCAATCTTCTTCAGTGCCAACATGGCGGCAGGAGCGTTCAATGGGGTCAGTTTCTATCATGCTTACTCTCGACACGTCTGTCTGACTGGCTCGTTAGCTCTTCTCAAGTCTCTTGACGCACTTGGAGTTGGACGGATATGCGGGATGGAGATGGTATGGATCCCTTGACCTCAGCGGGCATATACTGTTTTCTGACGCAAGAATAGGCTCTTCCTGATCGAATCAATCATCACCATGGGCGTCAGCATTATTTGCTACTGGATCGTTGTTCCCTTTCCCGAGGACGCGACATTCTTGACCCCTGCGGAGAAGGAACTGCTGCTTGCCCGTCTGGAGGCCGATGGAGGAAGCATTCGCGATGATCCTATCTCGCTCCCTCGGGTCCTGAAGATGGCGATGGACTGGAAGATCTGGATCTGGTGAGCATGTCTGCTACGTCTAGGAGTCGAATTATGCGCTGACATTGACACCAGTGTTTTGGCCTACCTCGCCGCCGAAGAAAGTGCCAGCTCGATGGTGTACTTCCAGCCCACCATTCTCAAGGACCTCGGCTGGACCAGTCGCTCAGCGCAAGAGCACAGCATCCCTGTCTATGCAGTCGCCTTCGTGCTTACCTTGTCAAGCGCGTGGCTGAGCGACTATCTCCGCCACCGCTATCTCTTCACGCTGTTCGGATCGGCGCTGGTCATAATCGGCTGGAGTATCGAGCTTGCGCAGGTCCCCTCTGCTGGAGTCCGCTATATGGGCATGTTCTTCGTGGCATCGGGCGCGTTCATCATGATGTCTATCACCGTGGTGTGGTTGTGTATCAACCTTGGCAAGGGCGTCAAGCGCAGCGTCGGAATGGGCTTGCTGCCCGCGTTCGGTAACTGTGGTGCCTTCGTATCTGGCAACGTCTTCATCACCAGTGAAGCGCCCAAGTACCCTACTGGCTTTGGGGTTGGTCTGGCATTCGCAGTGGTGGCAGGACTGGCCTGCACCGTGTATTTCTTCGCTCTCCGCGCCGAAAATCGCCGCCGGGAAAGTCAGCCGGAGCAGGACTGGCAGCCGGAGAGCCTGCAGGATCTGGGCGATGCTCATCCGGACTTTCGTTTCCAGTTGTGAGACCCATGTGTTGGCGAATATTTATGCTTCATTTACCCTTTGATCTGAAATAAATTCTTCCCTCTTGGTCCTTTCATCCTGTAAGAATGGTCCAACCATGCGCCGATCGACTTGTTTGGCGGCGTTAGGGTAGCTGCATACCAACCCTGCTTTGCTATCGGGTCAACTCGTCGCATACATGACAAATGCGCCCGCACATCCGAAATCTTCACCTGGGTAAACACCCGATAATGTTTAATGGTCGGGCTGAGGTGGACCATGGAACCTCGCGGCATCCATGACGTCGGAAGCCAAGCCCCAACTTCACCAATTCTCTTCTCCACATTTTGCCTCCCCTGCATTCCGCATACCTCATTCTTGCAGAATTCCATTTCTAGACGAATCCCTTGTCTCGTCGCGCTGGACCGCAATGCTGACCGCTGCTCACCCCAATGATCCCGGTTTACGATCAATATCTGCGCACCATCAGCTTGGTGACGCAGATCCTGTGCTGCAGCATCACCACCCTCTGCCTGGCCCTGCGCCTGCTGGTTGCTTCCCGGATCAAGCGAGATTTGAATATTGAGGACGGTTTGTGACATCTCTTTTTCTAGCCGTCTACCAAATCTAATGATTGTATACCAGCATTTTGCACTCTATCCTGGGTAAACTCCCACTACCCGCCGACCTTTGGCTGCTCTCCTCTAACATTGTGCTTCAGGTCCTGTTCTTCACCTATTGCATTTGCAACATCTTCTGTGAGTCTTCAATTCACTGCCGCTATGGGGTCATGTCCACTAACTAGACTACCGCAGACCTCCATTATGGCGGTGGCAAACCCCTTGCCCTGCTGACCCCCAACCAGATCCGACTCGTCTACAAGGCAAGCACCGTGACCAGGGCCAACCCAATGCAAATGCTCCTCCACTGACTCTCGCGTCCGCAGTTCTACTATGTTCTGACCGTAATCTACGCCCCGATGGTCCTCACCGTCAAGATCACCCTGCTCTCCATTCTAGCGCGCATCTTCACCATCCGTCACGTGCAAGTCATCAGCGTGTACTCGGTGCTGGTGGTGACGGTGATCTACTACACGATCATCTTCTTCATCAAGGTCTTCATCTGCCTGCCGGTCTCGTACTTCTGGACCCACTACGACGAGGAAGCGCAGTGCCTGAATAAATCGGCCGTGATCCTCGCCGACGCGGTGATGAGCATCGCCACGGATCTGGCCATCATGCTGCTCCCGGCCTTCCTGACCATCACGCTGCACCTCTCGCACGTCAAGAAGCTCAAGGTCTCGCTGATGATGGGCTGCGGCGGGCTGGCGATCGGGTTTAGCATCTACCGCCTCGTGCTGGTCATCCACGAGGAGGATAACCTGGAGTCAACCATCGTCTACTTGAAGATATTACTGTCGGGGTAGGTGTTCTTCCTACCTTGTACCACCCAGTCGGGGCTGAGCTAATGCCAAGCAGTAATGCGGAAGGCGGATTCGCCCTCATCTGCTCGTGTATCCCCGCGATCCATATCCTGATCACTCGACGCGGAGGCCGCGACACGCAGCGCTCCAGTACATCCTCCCACCAGCTCTTCCGGCACTCGTTCCCCCCCTCGTTCCCCTTCCATCGGAGTCCCGCCAGCCCCCCGTTCGCCGAGTCCCAGCAGGCCGGCGTGACATCCACCGCGCAGCGCGCATCGCTGGTCGTCCCCGAGCCGAACGATCTAGAAACCAGCGAGGGGAGCGCGTCGGACGCGAACCAGATCGTGCGGAAGGTCCTGCTCTCGCGCCGGTCGGAGAGAGTGCAAGTGCCGGTGCTGCGGGACTGCTCGCAGGGGTCCTCGGAGGCGCCGCTCGGCAACCAATTCGGAGCAGTTTGACGGCATTAATTGCAGCTGGCTGGACCATGATGAAGTTGCATCGATATACGTGCCGCGCATTTGGCCATCGATGCCGTGCGATGTAGACTGGCCCCTCGCGACAATGCCGGAAAACAATGCCGGGGACGGCGGCCCCCCTCAACCTCCGATCTTCGGCACTAAGCTA